TACTTAGTTTCTTAGCTATTGTGATTTGTGCCTACCTTAAAAAAATGGCATGCCTCTTTTCTTTTCTTTTTTAATCTATAACCTACTCAAGCTAACCAATAAAATTTTGGATGGGCTAAGTCATAATTAGTTTATTAATTCAATTTTAATTTTATATCATTCAAATTTAATTAGTGATTCGTTGATTTATTATCTCTAACATGCGATATTTAATCTTGATTCTTAAATCAAATCTTATAGAGAAAAAAAGAGGGAATGAGATAACGATGATGGAGATCATCCCACCCTGAACTCACAATTCTCACCTCATTCTGCTAAATATATAAATATTTTTAGGATAATATTTTTATTTACTTATTTATTAAACACTAAAAATAAGTATTTAAAAAAATACTTGTTTTTTTAAAAAATATTTTCTAAAAAATCATTTTTCATGGAAAATATCTTCTTTCATACCGAACACACCCATAGGTGCGCCTGAAATTAGCGCGATACAAGAATAGCTAGCGGTCCTTCCCACCACCCCGTAGAATTTATCGATCTTTCGTACATCATAGAGCTAGGCTTTATGACTTTTAATAATTATCTAGTTATATGAAAGTTATTTTAGATTTTCGATTATAACGCATGCATTAGGGCCTTATTTAGTTGATTAACAATAACAAAGACTGATTAAGCTAAACAAAGCTTCTTTTTCTTTTATTTCGATAAGAACATCATGTTTTAAATATAATTATCGATCCGATCAACAAAAAAAGTTTAGAGATATCAAGTATCATGTATTCCATCCATCTTTTACTTTCATGGTAAGTTTGATTTATATAAACCTTCCTAATTCCTATGGTAGACTTTTATTCCCCCCTTCCCCCCCAAAAAAAAAGTCAATGTAAAACATTAATTATATTTTCTGCCATAATATTAGCAGTAAATGCGTACGTTATTTTTATATATGTTGACCATATAAAAATATTGTTAAATTATTAGGTTATTTAAAGGATAACTAATGAGTATATATATGTAACCATTTAATATACTGAAAAATAAGATAAATAAACTATTATAAGAGTGCGCAAATTCGATTTAAATGAAAAAATTGACTGAATTGAAAATTAAGTTTATATAATTTTCTGTTGCATCCAGAGTTTTGACAACAACTGATTTATTGATCATAAGTGTACATACGTGTAAGGAGTTTGTTCGAATTTTTTTTAAAAAAATTATTATATAAACTTTATTTATAATTGGAGAATCAAAATTTATTTATTCATCAAATTATTTCGAAAGCCTAAATATCCTAAAACAAGCATTTTGCTCCTTTTTCTTTTGCTTTTTGGCCAACTATGTATTAGCAAGTCAAAAGGCGCTCCATCCCCGTATCCGTATTGAGGTCTCATTAAATTCAAATTTGTGCATTGTAAAGCTCATTTTTTATGGGTGACACTCCAAATAAGATTTTTTTTTATTCTTAAAGGCTTGAATCTGGAAACTTTAATTAGAACGAAAGGACATTCTATGATATGATGCTTTGAAATCGAAAGAAGATTTATCACGTAATGATTACTTAGCCTATTCGTGTTTGTCTAGCATTATTTGAGCAAGCACTTGTAATCTTATTTGATATTGTCTCAATTTATACAATATTCTTTTGCATCTCGAATTTTAAATTAGCTTTAAATTAATTCTCAATAAACAACAACAAGAAATAACAGTACATAAATTGGAGCGAATGAAGTATTAATGGTTGAGTGGTTGGGGAGGTCCTGGAATTGAATCCACCCTCTATCTACTATTCAGTTATGAGCTTGTCAAATAAGGCTTCTTGACTAGTGCGATATAAATCTTCCGTATGATTTGCGAGCGCAATGAATGGTCACTTAATAATGAGAATGGCCACTTGACTGCACAAAAAACCAGATCCCGTGACACCCACACTTTTGCCATAAAAGTAAATCCAATGAACTTTCACGGATTTCCATTTCTTACACTATCCACACCCATAACGAATCACACACACATTAAATTCCTACCTATCTAATTATATGTAACCATTTAATATACGGAAAAATAAGATAGATAAACTATTATAAGAGTGCGCAAATTCGAAAACCTTAGCTTTCTTGACGATAGGATAACTCTGCAAACTTTCTGCCGACCTAGGGTTCTGGTGGCTCCTACATAGGCAGCAGCTACGCAGCTATCATGGCTGCTACGGCCACTGGATGGCCTCCTTTCGAGGCTGTCCAGCCCGCCCCACCACCACATACGCCACCCTTAATCTGCCTTAATTAACTCAAAAACAATTGTAAAATCAATCGAAATAATTCATGGAGAACCTACTATCACGTTTTCAATGGAGGAAAGGCAAGACTTTATGATCGAAGAAGGATTACATCAAGCAATGGTGTTTAAATTATCACATGGTGCGTCAGATTTGAACGTATTAAGGTCAATTTTAGCAAAACATCTTGGTACCAAGGGCAATTGTTTAATTGGCTTACTTGCTCCAAGACAAATTTTGTTGAGGTTTGATCAATATGAAGATTATGTACTAGCTTTATCTCGCTCAGTTAATTATCTTCTCTACAATGGAGAGGAGCACCAATGTAGGGTTTTTCCATGGTCCATTGGATATAACCCTAAGGAGGAAACGACGTTAGCTGTGGTTTGGATTTCTTTACCGGACTTATCTCCAGATTTGTTTGCCAAGAAGTTTATTTTGTCTATAACATCAGCAGTTGGGAAACCAATAGCTATAGATAAAGCAACTCAAATCAAGTCAAGACCTAGCATGGCTAGAGTCAAGGTTATACTTGATCTAATGGAAAAGCATCCAAATCGTATAAGGTTGCAGTTTGTAGATGGAAAATCTGGTAAGTTGATAGAGGTTTTTCGGGAGATTGTATATGATAATCTACCTTTGTAGTGCAATTATTGTAAGCACCAAGGTCATGATGAAGATAGTTGTCGTTTGATTTCGAAAAGAAATCAAAATAACAAACAAATTGATGATACCATTGAAGGTGCTTTAAAAGGTACTACTGATAGTGAAAAGTATCAAGGTGATGCGAGAGAAATATTAAATGAAAAAAGAAAGACTGTAGATGTCGATCAAAGTAAAGCTACTTCTTTAAATCGGCAATTGGTTGCTTCCACTTCCGAGCAAAATCGTGTAGACTCAATGGATGTTGATACAAGTAATATTGGTGTTCAAACAACTACCGAAAACAAAGGTGATTGCAATAACCAACAGGCTGCTATTAATGAGGTGCAATCAAAAGAAGTTGGGATGAATTTGATGTCTAATGCAACTAAAAACGCAGGGGGAACACCAAGAGTTGGGGTTGATGTGCCGCAAGTTGATTCAGGGCAAAAACTAATGGATACATCTGATGTTGAAGATGCTGAAAATTCTGGGCAGCATTTTTTGCAAGTTGCAAACGAGAATCCAACTAAAAACTGGACACTGGTTGCACACAAAAAATCAACTAGTAGTCGGATCATTTCCTCTGCTAGTCAAAATAATTCTCCATGTAGTGAAAAGGGTCCGACTGGGAATTTTCATGACAGTGAGAAGAGACAAGATACTAGTAATGCCTCAAGAGACCTATTATATGTTCGAATAGCTTTGATGCTTTATTGAAGAATACTGGAAAGCAAGTAAGGTTAACAAAGAATGACAACGATTTGATCTAAGAAAAACAAGTCTCACCACCTGCTTTAAATAGCAAATTAAGTCGAGAAGCTCCCATATTTGTGCCTAAATGTGTGCTTGCAAAGAAGAATGAGTCAAGGGCCTTAGTGTCAAATACAATTGATTTGGGTGAGGATTCTCTTGATGAAGATGGAATGGATTTGGGTGAGGATTCTCTTGATGAAGATGGAATGGATTTGGGTGAGGATTCTCTTGATGAAGATGAGGACGACAATATGCTGGACATTTGCTTTGATAGAGTGGCTAGGGAAGGGGATATATCACCTAGGCAACAAAGAAGTGGAAGCAACAAAAGCAAAAAGAAGACACAAGGAAGGCAACATAGTTGGGATGGTAAAATGACTGAGGAGTTTGTTCCAAGGCACTTACCTATGCGACAAGCAAAGCAAAACCATTTGACAGTATCAATAGGTTCAACTAGATCCAATAAATCCATAAAGAAGGTATGAATCATCAAGTGTTGTTGGATAGGTTTGAAGAAGAAGACAAGAGAAAAACACTTCAAGTTACTTTTGATGGGCAATCAATCTTTTTTAATTCATGCTTTTGTAATAGAAAGTTTGAGGCAGGTAACTCAACTTTCTTCTTGATTGACATATTTTTACATTATTTAAGCGTCCTCATTTGTAATATCATCATGGAGTGTATTACAAACTCTGTTGCTTCCACTTGCTTGTACTTGTCCCTATTGATATTTTTTATGTTTAATAAAAGACCGCTAGACACTGTCTAGTGATAAATTTGCTTTAAAAAAAAAGAGTGCACAAATTCAATTTAAATGAAAAAATTGACATAATTGAAAATTAAGTTTATATAATTTTCTGTTGCATCCACAGTTTTGACAACAACTGATTTATTGATCATAAGTGTACATACGTGTAAGGGAATTTGTTCGAATTTTTTTTTTTGACCAAAAATTTATATGTACATATAAGATTAAAATTAATTTTTTTATGTATATATAATTCCTTTGATTTCTTCCTGTTTATACTCTGTTATTGAACATACACATGAATTTTAAGTACAAATCAAAATTAATCGAGCTTAGATATCGATACCGAACCCTATAAGGTGGGAAACCCAAAGAAAAAAGACTAGCAATAAATTATATCATGGGAGCAGCTACTTGGTGGGAAAAATATAATAATGTTTTGTGGTCACACAATCTAACTATAAATTCATCCATTCTTATGCACCAAAACAACATATCTTCTTATTCAAATTTTCAATAATCCAAAAAAAATAGTGAAGAAATAAATAAAAGAAGTTTCTTTTTTTTAAAATATTTATGGCTGCTTGTAGTTATACATGTCAAGTTAATTATTGTTGTTCGCAAAAGCCTGTTATACCAAAATTTAAAGACTTGGGAGCCTCAGTCTCGTTTAATTTGAAGGTGAATTTTTGACAGACGTTTTATTAAAAAGCATGTATCAGTCAAAAATCGACTCATTTCATACTAATAGTTTCGGAAATCTTTTTTTCCCTTGAACTTTGTGCACAATTATAACTTGCTTCATTTTTTTTTTGTGTAACAGCCATTTTTGACAAATTTGGAACATTTTTCCTTGATAATGGATGTTCCAAAAGTTATATTGAAGGAAACTATTTTCAAATTATTGGACAATTTTGTAGATTTGACCTTTGAATTTGTGGATCAACCTTTATCCCCATCTCAGGTATATATATAATTATATATAAATATATATATATATATATATATATATATTTTAATTTGTCCATTAATTATCACATTTTTTGGTACATTTATTTGTTCATGACTTTGTGTATTTTCACAAATAAATAATTGATAGAGTAATTTTGCACCTGTTGAAGAAATTGGAGAAGCTGTAAGAGTCACTATAGTTCAAGGGAAAATTCCAGATGATTTTCCAGAGGGTGTATACATAAGAAATGGTAAGAAAGTGTATAAAATAGGTTTTTTTTACACTATCAAATCATCTAAAAAAAATATAATTGCATGTGGCTCGTAATAAGTGAAACTAGCTAGTTACATGAATATTAAGTGTGTTGTTGGGTATGATAGTTTTAATATTAGTGTGTTAACATGAAATTGTTTTACATTATCGAAGTACGATGATTATTAAAGAATATTTTGATATATTCTATGTATCTTTAGTTTTAGACTATAAAATTCAAAAAATATGTCTTTACTTTCTTAAATTTTGTATCAAATTAAAATCAGACATATAAATTAAAACGAGTGAAATATAACTTAGGTGAGCATTTATAATCTGGAGGTGAGTATAGGGGTGAGGTGAGGGATAAGGGTGGGTGAAGGCGGTGAGGGTGGAGATGAAAGGGGATCTAGGTATGATGGGGTTTGCGGGGCGGAGCCGGATATAAATGAGAGGATTCATTCAAATTTCGTTCAATAGAAAATTATGTTATTTATATTTATTTATTTTTATGTTTATAAAGTAGATATTATATTATACCTCTTTTCGTTTCGTTATGTACTTTTATATTTTGAACTTTCTTAGTAAATTTTTTAACTCTGCCACTAAATGGATGGAACGAAACTCGGGATTGGGGCGATTAGTGGGCGGAATTTGGAGGTAGTGTGGAGACCACCAATTAGAGCTGAGCATAAATCACCGAAAATTAAATTATCAAGTCGAATGAGAAGTTATTTCGATATTTTGATATGTATTAATTTATTTATTCGATATGATATTCAAGAATAAAATTTTAAAAATACAATAACTAATTTTGATAATTTATACACGACATTAATACCATTTGATATTCGATTATTTTAGGGTATGTGTTATGGCTTTCTGCATTCTGCCCACACACTTAATTTCTCTGTGTGCGGTCAGTCTTAACTAATTGAATTTAAATCATTTTTAATCTGTTGACAATTCCAATGCCCCATCTTTTGGATATCCAAGATTCCACCTTTCACTTTGTGTATATTCTAATTTTTTTTATATTTTTTTAAACATATATATTTTATGAACAGTCGACTTCAACTTTAATACGATATTATTAAATTATCGTATTGAAATTCACAATATGGAAGTTTGAATTATAAGTATGGGACTACACATTGAAAGTTGAAATATGATTTATTAGTATCGGACTGAATATCTCTTTTCAATTATTCAATTATCGATCGAAATCAAACTTTCAAAATATAAAATCAAATAGCTATGAAACCATTTTTCTTCCCTTTATAATCTCATAAATAGAAGTTATTTTCTTGATTTTTAAGAAGCTTTTTATCTTAAAAAAATATTTTTTCCCGTAACAAACACACCTTATAAATTAGTGTCATTTGTAAGCAAAAATGCATATGTACGTAGCATATAATTAATAGGTTCAACTGAATTCAATGTTTGTTTTTTTACATAGAGTGCATATATATTTTAAATTTTTAATTCATCCAAAAGTGTAATTTATGATTTCAATGTTAACCTAAAAATTGAATCGATAAAATTTAAATTTTGAATCTGCGTCTGTTTGCAGGATCAAATCCTCTCTTTGGAGGATTAAAATCAACCAAGTCAATATTTGGAAAATCAAGCCATTTATGGGTTGAAGGTGAAGGAATGCTTCATGCTTTGTACTTTACAAAAGAAAAAGGCAACAAATGGAATATATTATACAAGAACAAATATGTAGAAACAGACACATTCAACATGGAAAAAAATCTTAAAAAACCAGGATTTATTCCTAATATTGAAGGGGATTCTCTTGCTGTTTTAGTGGCTTCCCTTTTAAATGTGGTATGTCATGAACTACTTTCATTTTTATTTTTATTTTGATTTTGATTTCTTATCCGGTATTTGATATATGTAACAAGGTCTCGATTAATTAGTATGTAAAACTTATTAGAGGGGAAAATTAAACTCTTCTAATCAGATTTTTTCTTCATATCTAAAGCTTTAATGCTAAATATCTTATTAAGAATAGAATTATCTATTTCATATTCAGAGCTTCAAGCTGAGAGTCTGATATACATGTGCAACATCACATGTATTCGGAAACTTAATTGTATACACGTGCAACGTCACATACATTCAGAGACTTAATTGTAATGTACAAGAGAAGATGATGGTATTATTAATGTGGTCTAGCCCTATGTTTCTTAAACTATTTAAAAATATGGAGGGTGTGTGTCAGATATTTTACAGGTAGTACATATTTGGAGAATTTAATATAAAAATAATAATATTTTAAAGAATCCGAACAACATACATGTAATTAATTGTAGCAAGAGCTTGAATTCTATGTGTATGTATCCTTATTATTTTGCAGATGAGATTTGGTGTATTGCACAAATATATAAGCAATACAAATGTGTTTGAGCATTCAAAGAAGTACTATTCAATTGCTGAAAATCATATGCCTCAAGAGATAAACATACAAACACTTGAAACTTTGGGAAATTGGACTGTTAATGGGGCTTGGAGTCAACCATTCACAGCCCATCCAAAGGTAATGGCTCATCACAAAACTCATTTTGTTACGTCGCTCGAACTCTCTTAAATTATTATCGCAATTACATCACATCCTAAAAGATCAAATATGCTATTTTTGAAAATTTTGACATGTATTTATTAGTGTTTTTGAAGAGTTTAAACAACATATATAGATCTTTACAATGAATCTTGTATGCAAAAATTCTTAAAGTGTGTGGTTGTTTAATCTAGAAGTTTAGACTATTAAAAAAGATTTCTTACATAATTATATTGTATATTATGTATATAGTATATGTATATGAAGTAAAAAATATACAGTATATTATATTTTGTAAATTAGTTGATCGAAGTTATTCTTTCTTTTTATAGGTCAAATGAATGAAAATAGTTTTGTTTTTGTCTTGGGATGTGAGCAAAACTATAGAAACATGTGAACTAGATAGGATTTATTGCATGTTTTTGATTTCATGTTGAAGATGTGATTATCACATTCAAAAATTTAAGTTACTAAAACAAGTATATTTTTAATTAATTATTTATTTATATTATGTCTCGACAGAAAATACCAGACACGGGTGAACTAGTTACAATGGGAATTAATCCACTAAAGCCTTATCTTCAGCTAGGAGTTATTTCAAGTATGTTATTTTCCATTTTGGAAAGTTTATTTAATTTCCTAATTTATTTTTAAATTCACTTAATACCTATTTTCAGCTGATGGAAAACAAATGGTTCACAAGGTGGATGTCAAACTTAATAGGTGTATCATTTGCCATGAAATTGGAGTTACAAAGAGGTAATTATTATGCATTTAAGTTTTATGTACTGACTGATCATATATATAAAATAAAATCAACTTATAATAATAAGTATTTTTTTCTATAAAATTTTATACGATAACCTGAAAACTAAAGTAAAAATTCATTATAACCAATTACATTGAACTAATCGATAGTGTAAATATTTTTTGTAGTTTAGTATAAATTTATGAACTTAAGTCCAATTATTATATATGTTAATGTTATTCTAATATTTTTACAATTCAATTATGTGTAGGTACAATGTGATTTTGGATTTTCCACTAACTATTGACCTAAACAGACTTATTATTGGAGAGCAGTAAGTATTTCAAACATGATATATTATTATTTTTAAAATTAGTGATACTACAATTTAATGAAAAGTACTTTTTAATTAAATCCTTAATTAATGTATATTTATACTTCTGATTTTCGCAGATTAATAAAATATGATAAAGATGGATATGCAAGAATTGGAATAATGCCTCATTATGGTGATGCTAATTCCATTAAATGGTTTGAAATTGAACCATGTTGTGTATTTCACATAATAAATTGTTTTGAAGATAATGACGAGGTATCTTTACATTTTTTTAAACTTGATTTAATTTCAGATTTATGTGATCAATAATGAAACTAGTAAAATTAATTAATTTTATCCCTTTTTGTGTGTGTGTGTAAAAGGTGGTGGTGAGGGCATGTAGGGCTCGTAGATCGATTATACCAAGACCAGATATTATAGTAGATGAGTTTGAGCTGAGTTTGGACGAATTAGACGAGATGAATTTCAGTAAAAACAATGTTCAGACGTTAAAAGAGATTTTTTCATTTTTTCGAGTTTGTGAATGGAGATTAAACATGAAAACAGGAGAAGTGAAGATGAAAGATTCAACTACAACCGATCATCAATTTATAATGGAATTCCCAATGATCAATGAACACTTCATTGGTATTAAAAACAAATTTTGTTATCTACAACTTATTGATTCAGAAGCTTTCTCTAATTACTTTGGTTAGTACTCTAATTTCTGTTTGGATTTGGAACATTGAGATATAAATTATAATCATTATTAAAAACATGAATTTATTAGCTAAGAATTCATTACTAATTTATCGTTAAATAGAATTAGTGATAAATATTTATTATTTAGCAATAAAATAAAAAATTTCATGTTACTAATTAAACTTCATGATGACATATTATCTTGAATTTAGCAAAGAATTTATCAGGAGGATTTGCTAAATTTGGAGGGCTAGCCAAACTTCATTTTGAAGAAAGACAAGTTGAAAATTCTAAGGTAATTGCTACTTATAAATTTGTGACAATAATATTATATTTGACATTTTCTAAAATTGTAATATTAATTTATCTTATTGTTATTACTTTTGAATGTTGATTAATTATTAGGATAATAAAGAAGAAGAAGATTTGATTAAGGTTGAATATCACATTTTCCCAAAAAACACATTTTGTAGTGGAGCTACATTTGTTCCAAAACTTGATGGTGTTGATGAAGATGATGGTTGGATTGTGGCATTCACACATAATGAAAATACAAATCAATCACAAGTAAGTTAAATCATAATATAATTATTCTTTTTTCTCGATTTGTATGTGTCATGTTAATCTTCTATATGTATTTATTACAATTACACGAGATGTTTTCAAGGGACAAATAGCCCCATAATGGACTTGCTATTACAATGCAAACTTAAATTAATCAAGTCAGTAAGTTTTTGAAGTCAAATTTTGAAGGACAAATATAATATATATATATATATATTGAGAAAGAGAGTTTTTAAAATTTTAGGATCGATTGATTAATTTTGAATGGTGTTTCATGAATCCTCTTATAGTTTTTTTTTTTTTTTTTTTACTCAAACGTGATTTTGGAATTTATATTCATTCTAATATGTATATAATTATTTCAATCTTGCAGGTTTATATAATTGATGCAAAAAAATTTGAAAGTGAGGCAGTTGCCATAATCATATTACCAAGTAGAGTGCCATATGGATTTCATGGGGCATTTATGTCCTTCAATTAATTATAGATACCCTACTAAAAAATGTTAAAATCCGAAAAAAAAAATTGACGGACTATAGTTTATAACCAATAAAATCCATCGATCCGTTGGTTTTGGCCTTCGTTTTTCGACCTGTTTTTTTTAGTGATAGTATAGTATTCAATATCTTGTGCTTATTGCCTTATTGAATTGTTTCGTATATTTGCGGTCTCCAATAAATACATGCATGAATAAAATATAATATATGCCAATAAATGTTAGTTTCCTTTATTAATTTTTTTTTTTTAATAAAGATCTCATTAGTTTAGGAGTTAATTATTTAGATATATATACTCTAATTTATAATATTACGAATCTTACTAGACTTTGGAACGCCCAGATTATACGTCCAAATACATGTATTTCGGGATACATGGGTCAAAATTAGGAGTAATTTATTGTAGATACATTGTATCCAATTAAGTAGATTCGCATGTATCTGGGATACATAACAAATGTCTCCCTCACCGCTCTCCTATGTAACTGGTGTAATTCACATGTATCTAGTATGTATCTAATGTGATTCACATGTATCTAGGACATGTGACTATCTTGCTCGCCTCTCTCTCTCTATTTTAGTGTCTCTGGTAGAAAAAAAACATATATCTGGGTGTATCTTCCTCAATATATGATAGAAAACTCTTAATTAGTGGTGAGATACATAATTATTTAAAAGTGTCGATAGAATTAGTATATATAATTTGGATGTATGTCTAATAAAATAGTTTTTCTTTTAAAAAAATATGGTCAAGTCTCTCTTTCTTTGGCCCATACCACTTGAACTAGATTTATAACCAACTTGTAAATTTTAGGACACGATGGATCATGAATCGTTTATTAATTACATTCAATTTTATACTCGATTAAATTATTTGAGCAATTTGTCTTATTTGTCACCTCTCTATTGTGAGATATTCGATTTCGATTTTTGAATGGTATTTGTTGTACGCATTGTTAGTTTGTTACGAAAATAATCGTAAATACTTTACTAATTTCAAGAGTATCATAAAATCAATTGAGAACAATTCAGACTTAATATTAATATTCCTAATACGTAATACAATATTGATAAATTAAGAAAGTTATAAGACTTAGATCCTTGTATCGTACATGCAAAACACATGATTACTAAATATTTAATTTGTGTTTACTGAGGACGTTGTTGTTTTTTCTATCATAAATACAGATGTGCTTGAACTCGATAACATGATCTCTTTTGGTGAGCCCCCACTATGATCGTTAGTGGGTGCCAATTTTTGTGAACCATAGAGCATAATATGAACGGTACAAAATAAGAGGATCGAGAGTGTTCACCTAAACTCTTTCAGTAAAATTTACACGTATATATAAGGTTTTTTTTCTTACTTTTTTTTTATGTGAGTCTACTAAGCACAAAACTAAAAGTAGACTCAATGGGTTAGGAAAAGTTCAAAATTCACCAAGAGTTTCCAGGTTTAAATTTTAGGTATTATATTATTATTTTTCGAATTCTCTTAGTGAAAATCTTGAATCCGTCACTACTAATGGAACTGTAATTTTTTGTGTAAGAGATTCTAAGACGTGTTATATTTTTATTCACCTTTATCTTTGGCTTTCTTTTCAACATATTTCTTCCCTACAATTTTTATACTTATTAGCATATTAATACATGATTTATCTTTCTCTTTTATTTATTATTAATTATGAATCCAAACATCCACTTGTCTTAGCTTGAGTTGGAATATGGCTGCAAGTTATTGTTTCCGGACGAGCATATTAATTAAAGACATTATATATCAATTAATTGAATATTCATTTAATATTTCAAATGCTAGCTTCCCCAATTTTTTTGTAAAAAAAAATAATTATAAATTTATGTGATCGTTTGAGTCACTTTTCTTTTTCTCTTTTTAACTAATTTAAATGAGAGAGATAGAGAATGTATGTGTTTAAGGGAAGGGTAAAATGGTCACTGGACATTTTAGTAATTCAATTTTATTTTATTTTTTGAGTTTTTTACTTTCGGTATAAATTATTTTGCTTCAAATTTCTTCATCTTTGCATCGTTATAATCTTATACAACATAAATAGTACTAAATATGTCATCAGATTTAATATCGCTATAGGCTTTAGTTACATTTACAAAGAGTGCTAAAATGTAACTGTCAATAATAATTGTCTCTAAAAAATATATTTATCATTAGTTAAGTTATTACAATTAATTAATTATTGCTAAAGATTATTTTTAATATAGTGACTGATAGTGCATTAAATAGTACCATTATAGAGTATTATAGATTTATTAAGAAAAGAGAAATGGATTGTCTTAGTCCTTGCTACAGCCTACAAGTATTAATAAAATAATATACGACAAAGTGATTTAATTAGGGAAAACCTATGAGACTTAAATTATAGTACTTCCTATTAATTACTAATGACTTTGAATTATTCTTTCTAAATTATTGTTAAACATCTTTATCTATTCACTAAAACATCTTTACTAATGGCTTAAAAATATTTTCCTTGACTTTCTATTCGGTGTTCGATATCCATATTAAAGCTCAATTTAGAAGATGAGAATTTCTTTTTTTTAGCTTAGATTCACGCGGCATGAGGTTCTATTTAGAAAAAGTGCTCCATGTGAAGAATTTTTTTATATCTAAGACTCGAAAAAGAATTTAGAAGAAAATTATTTCAATCTATCTTATACTTACATAATTTAAAAATCATACTGCACCACGCATAACATAAAGCCTGCACCACTCCATTGTCATTCCAAGAATTATGTTTTTCTAGACACATACAACCCCATATCAATTAGTCATGTAAACTTTTTGAACAATACTAAAACATGTTTGTAATGAGTAACACAAATTTTGAAAGGAAAACATGTAGCTCAAACACATGATGGATCTAAGATTTTGAAGTTATGGGTGTTCTCTTAGCTTAATAGTGACATGATCAAAATTTTCACTAAAAAACAGTTCAAAAAACATATAAAAAATACGTTGAGAGTGCGATTCGAACTCAAGCTCAGCAACACTAAAAAGGCTTTAAGCACCAACCATAAGCCGCCCTTCATCTAATATTTTTATGAAAGCGATTTTTAAATTGAATCGAAAGAAATACCTTTTTATTAAATTGCACCTCTTCATCTCACAATTAATTAGTTGCCTATAAATATAAAAATAATGTTTCAATTCGTTGAAGTTCTTTAATTTTATTTGAATTGCCAACCATTACAAAATAGTGTAATATCTTATCTTGTGAAAAATTAACTCAAAATTTTGGACAATAACAAAGGGGTTAAATTTTTTAAGGAAAGAGCACACAATAAATTCAGTGAGAATGGAATCAAATTTTTATTTTTGTATTAATATTTTTTTATATTCATCTTATCTGTTTTTGAAAAACTAAAATTTTCATAATTTTCAATTCCTATAGTTTTAAAAACAAAAGTCTTTATGATTCTCTATTCCAGTTTATTATTCAGTTTGAAGATATAAAGCTTATCTACTTATTATTAAGTCTGAATATTAATGACGAAAGTTTGGCTCTATGCCTAACCTTCACCAAGCTATGATCGACTTTAAATCTCAAAAAATTAAAAGTCAAATAAAACATCAATTAATTGAAAATAAAGTCAAATAAAACATCAATTAATTGGACTTGCTGGCTTATAATTAAGTAAACTTAATAATCGGAAAAATAAGACAGTTAATCATCTATAACACGTTAGTAAACTCTATACATAATTGTGATTAGCGCAATATTTAGTATGATTTTGATAACAACGTATACTGATGTATATTTGAATTAATCGAGTTTAAAAAGCTATGAAAAGGATCGATCCCCAACCCCCTCCCCCCCAAATAAAAGAAGAAAAGATAGAGCAATAAATTTGTTGCTTGTTGGGAAAAAATAATACTTCGTTTGTCTCAAGGTATATGATATAATTTTTTAATCAATTTTAAAAAGAATGATATATTTTTATATTCGTTAACAATTTAAATTTAAAATATTTATTTTACCATTAATGCAATTAATGATTTATAGTCACACAGACATCTTTAACTTGTTTTAGTCTTTTAGACTAGAAGTTTTAGAAGAAAAAGAAAAACTCTGTCACATAAATTAAGACGGAGAAAATAATACTCTGTGGTCACACAATCTAACTATATAAAAAAAACCTTCTTATTCACTTCTACTTCTTTCACAATACTAGAAAAATTGTGTAAAGAAAACCAATGGCTGCTTATATTTATTCATGTCAAGTTAATTATTGTTGTTTGAAAAAACCTCTTATACCCAAATTTAAAGATTTGAAAGCTTCTGTTTCATCTACTTTCAAGGTAAACATTTTTTTTCCTCAAGAATTATTATGTATTTACTTATATATGTTTAATTTCGATGGACTGATTGTCAACGTAAAATAATTATCAGAATATATATGTACGTATGTTGTTTTCATATGTTATGGTAGAACGAGGTTAATTATTATTGAACTGGTTATTCAGAGCCAACAATTTAAGCTCATGGATTTTATCCTAAGAGACTAGAACATGGAATGACTCTTTTTTACTAAATTACTATTTTGAATGATGGTGAATTATTTATATTTGTAGTCACACAAACATATGTGACTTGTTGATTGGTTGATTGACTATAACCTATTGCATAATTATATTTAGTCCAATATTAATTTTGAATTTTAGCGGATTAAAACTTACTTTATTTTTATTGTGGAACAGCCATTTTTGTCAAATTTGGATCATTTGGATGTACCAAAAGTTATTAAGGAAATTTCTTTCAAATTATTGGATAATTTTGTAGATTTCACCTTTGAATTTGTGGACCAACCTTTGCTCCCATCTCAGGTACATATATATATAAAAATTATATTCTCTTTCTTAATTTATGTGACACGTTTTATTTTTCAAGAGTCAAACAGTTTAAGTTTGATCGAGAATTTGTTCATGAAATCTTTAAATTTTTTAAAATAAAATTTATATATTTGTAAACTACGTAAAAAGTATTATAAGTCACAATACTTGATAATTCAAAAAAAGATATATGAAGAATTTCCGATCAAAAACAAACTTGTTTGAATCTTTAAGTCTGAAATGTGTCACATAAACTCAAACGGAAGAAGTATATATTTCCATTATCACAGTTTTTAATTTATATATATTTGGACTTCTTTTTCACCTACAAATACATATAATTGACAGAGTAATTTTGCACCTGTCGAAGAGATTGGAGAAGCTGTGAGAGTCACTACAATTCAAGGGGAAATTCCAAATGATTTCCCAGAGGGTGTTTACATAAGAAATGGTAAGTAAAATGTTTTGATTTTTTTTATCTTACGCTATCAGGTCATTTAGAAGATAACAGAAGATAACAATACAAAACTTTCCGCTCATAATTAAAAGGCATAATAATAATATGCTCTTTAAGTTGACTTCATTTCACATTTATGTCCTCCAATTTTGAGTGTGTAAAGTAGACGACACTTGAACTTGTATAATGTTGAACAAGTAGACACATGAATCCTATGTGATCGACATAATACACGTAGGACACAGATATGTAGGACGCCACATAAGACATGTGTGTCTATTTGTTCAATGTTATATGTACGCCCAATGTTGAAGGGCATAAATGTGAAATGGGCATATTTATATATCATGTGAACTTATGATCAAATTTAAATCTCGAATCTGTTTCTGAATGTAGGAGCAAATCCTCTATTTGGAGGACTAAAATCAACCAAGTCAATATTTGGAAAATCAAGCCATATATGGATTGAAGGTGAAGGAATGCTTCATGCTTTGTACTTCACAAAAGAAAAAGAAACAGGCAACAAATGGAATATATTGTACAAGAATAAATATGTAGAAACAGACACATTTAACATGGAAAAGGATAGAAAAAAACCAAGTATTATTCCTAATATGGAAGGGGATGCTCTTGCTGTTTTCATGGCTTCCCTTTTAAATCTGGTATGTCATGAACTAATGTCTTTTGGGTTTTCATTCGGTATCTCGTACCTGTATTAGGGTCTCAATTAATATGTATTTCATGTGTTGCGTAAGATTAAGTAAAAAAGAAAGTTCCTAGCAAAAATATTTCTATACTCAGGGCACGAACTCTTAATTACTCTGTCTATCCTTATTATTATGGGGTCATATATAAAGATACGAACCACCTAGTCAAGTTATGAAACTACTTATAATTTTGTTGTTAATTAGTGAGAAGCAAGTAATAAAGGAGTATGCCAAGTTCATTCAGCTTGAGATTGTCAGACTATTTATTACTAGCCTTTTATCCAAATCTTCGACATCCACACCCTCCTATTAAGGGTCATGTCCTCGGTAAGCTAAAGGGTTCCTAGGTCCTGATCACCCATCCTCAAGAATTCTTCGACTTACCCCTATCTCTACTCAGTACCTCTATCATCAACCTCTCACACCTCATTATTAGGGCGTCTGCTCTCCTCTTTACATGTCCAAACCATCTCAGTCTAGATTTCTGCATCTTGTCCATCGCAAAGATCACTTCCACCTTAAACCAAATATCTTCATTTCTAACCATATCTCGATACACATGACGCACACACTCACACTAATAATGTTTTAAATATACTATGTGTATCCTAATTGTCTTGCAGTTGAGATTTGGTGTATTTCACAAATATCTAAGCAACACAAGTGTGTTTAAGCACTCAAAGAAGTACTATTCAATTGCTGAAAATCATATGCCTCAAGAGATAAACATACAAACACTTGAAACTTTGGGAAATTGGACTATTAATGGAGATTGGAATCGATCATTCACAGCTCATCCAAAGGTAATGGCTCATAAAAACATATTATTTTAATTATTTAACAGTGTTGTGTGTCACATGTTCCTCACGTGTGGGTGCGCTTTTTTTTCATGAGCTAAGCACGTGAAGATTTATTTTGGTTTTTAGTTGGTTGGAATGATGAATTTATAGTCATTGGAAAAGAAAATTGGATAGTCAGTTGAACGTCGAAAATTATAATGTGTATGCAAGTGAAAATATTAATTACTTGATTACATTGTGTCGTCTCTCACACGCCTCACACGTGTAGTAGATCGAAATTTATTTTTTAATCAAACACGTAAAAATATTTAATTTTGGTTTTGGATGTGAGTGAAATTTGAAGGCTAGAGCTATTGCATGTTTGACGTCATATTAAAGATGTATATGATTATCTTATTTAAAAAAATATATGTATTACTTAATTATATTATATCTCGATAGAAAGTCTCAGGTACAGGTGAACTTGTTATAATGGGAACATATCCACTAAAGCCTTATTTTGAGCTAGGAGTCATTTCAGGTATGTTATTTTCTATTTTGAAGCTAAATTAGGAGACTTCAATGGAATTTTTTTATTTAGTTTTCTAATTTATTTATAAATTTCCTTCCAATTTTTAGCTGATGGAAAACAAATGATTCACAAGGTGGATCTCAAATTAAATAGGTGTATTCTTTGCCATGAAATTGGTGTTACAAAGAGGTAATTATTACTTTTGAGTTTACGTTTCGTATAGATTTCTTATACTATCAGATAAATAATTTAATAGGTTACAGTTCTGATCGATATGATAATTTGAAAAATAAAATAAGAAAGTGTAGTTTAGTGTATATGAACTTAAATCCAATTATTATTTATGATAATGTTATTTAAATATGGTTATTTCAATTATATGTAGGTATAATGTGATTTTGAATTTTCCACTAACTATGGACCTAAACAGACTTACTATTGGAGAGGAGTAAGTATTTCAAACATTTTATATGTATAAAAATAATTCTAGTCATTCTACTATTTAATGAAATACATTTTATTAAATCCTTTAATTAATATATATATCATTATTTTGCAGATTAATAAAATACAATGAAGATGGATATGCAAGAATTGGAATAATGCCACGTTATGGTGATGCTAATTCCATTAAATGGTTTGAAGTTGAACCATGTTATGTATTTCATCTAATAAATTGTTTTGAAGATAATGATGAGGTAATTGACTCTTAAAAAAAAATTAACTTGATTTTAATTTTTTTTTTAAATTATCATGAGACTAGTACAATTGCTTAATTAATTTGACTTATTTTTTGTGAATATAAAAAGGTGGTGGTGAGGGCATGTAGAGCTCGTCGATGGATTATACCAAGACCAAACCTCACAATAGATGAGTCAGAGTTGAGTTTGGATGCGTTGAACGAGAAGAGTTTCAATAAAGATAATATTGAATCGTCAAAAAATTTATTTTCCTTTTTTAATGTTTGTGAATGGAGATTAAACATGAGAACAGGTGAAGTGATGAAAAATCTAACTACAAACGATCATCGGTTTATTATGGAATTCCCAATGATCAATGAACACTTCATTGGTCTTAAAAACAAATTTGGTTATCTACAACTTATTGATTCAGAAGCTTTCTCTAATTACTTTGGTTAGTACTCTAATTTCTATTTGGAATGAGATATAATTAATCACTACTAAAAACATGAATTTATTACCTACAAGATTCATTATTAATTTGGCGTTATATAGAATTAGCGATTTTATTATTTAGCAATAAAATACGTATTTTCATGTTACTAATTAAACTTCATGATGACATATTATCTTGAATTTAGCAAAGAATTTATCAGGAGGATTTGCTAAATTTGGAGGGATCGCCAAACTTCATTTTGAAAAAAGACATGTTGAAAATTCTAAGGTAATTTCTACTTATAAATTTGTGACAATAATATTATATTCGATATTTTCTAAAATTGTAATATTCATTTATCTAATTGATATTATTTTTATATGTTGATTAATTAGGATGATAAAGAAGAAGAAGATTTGATTAAGGTTGAATATCACATTTTCCCAAAAAAAACATTTTGTAGTGGAGCTACATTTGTTCCAAAACTTGATGGTGTTGATGAAGATGATGGTTGGATTGTGGCATTCACACACAATGAAAATACAAATCAATCTCAAGTAAGTTCATTATGGTATTAAAGACGATTTGAAAAACGTTACTATAGAGAAATCTGACTATATATTATATGTATATGTTGCAGGTTTATATAGTTGATGCAAAAAACTTTGAAAGTGAGCCAATTGCCATAATCCTATTACCTAATAGAGTGCCATATGGATTCCATGGAGCTTTTATGCCATTCAATTTATAGATAGTGTGCTATACAGTGACGAAGTCAGAATTTTTACTAAGGAAGTTCAAAATATGAAGAAATAAACACATGAACTAGCCGAATGGGGTTCAACATCTACTATATATACATAAAAAATAATTTTAACCATGTATAAATAGTATAATTTTCCGCCCCTCTATGTAAGTCACTAAAAATCCTATTGTGATTCAATTATTATTATTATCTAGCAACTTGAGGTCGGTATAAGAACTTAGCCCATAAACTCGATTATATATTAACTCGAGGTTGATTTAAGAACTTAGGCCATAAACTTCGAGTCATGGCTTCCACCGTTAGTGCGCGAGGGCCAAAAAAAGAGGCGTCAACAGCAGGATTCGAACCTGCGCAGGCAAAGCCCAACAGATTTCGAGTCTGTCTGCTTAACCACTCGGACATATTGACTATATGTTTAACATTTTGAAATTAAATTATTTTAATACACAAAAAAAGTTTTGCAATTTTGGGAAATATGGTAAAATATTTCTCTCATATTACAATTTTTTGCTATGTTTGTGTGAAACATGAAAAGTGGTTACCAATAAGGGACTAGATCAATGGCGTACACATGATTTTATGTGAGTGGTGTCAGACTGTTAGTCTATTGTCACAATTCAACTAGTACCACGTTTGATTTGAGGTTGTAGAGCTTTAATTAGACTTCAATTTTCACGTTTGTTGTGTTGATCACTAATTGGATAGCTGTAAAAAAAAACGTTCATACATTTCAACGCTTGTATTTCACTCTCACAACCCCATTTTCACGGATTAGGTTATTCCTATTTCGCTCCTACATCACTATATTTAGTATAATTTTAAGGGTAAATGTATTGAATGAGTTATGTTAAACAAGTTTCAGAATTTTCAATAGTCAAATAGTGACAATTTAACCTTCATTTACTAGTCTTTTTGGTTTTTTTTTCAACAGAACAAGAGCTATAAACCAATACTTTCACAAGCAAATGACATGAACAACAACACACGTAGTGTAATCCCACAAGTGGAGTCTGAGAAAGAGGTAAGATGTACGAGACAACACAAAAAACAAATTTTTTTGGAAGTTGACAAGAATGAAATTTTACTTGCATAAATATCAGCCATAAAGAAGATACTTTCCAGTAACATTGTTATATGCACAAGTCTAGCAACTAATTTGAAAGCTCAATGAGGTTGAATCCTTCATTGAACTATTAAGTTGGTTGTGTAATGAAAAGCTTTAGTCGAAATAATTGGCCGGTTACTTGGAACTCTACATTTGTGTAGATGGCCATGAATGCTCACCAATCAGTTTGAAAACCACCTGGCTAATTGTGGCTTTCCACTTCGTAGCCAGACGTGTAAAGTGGGATGAACTCAGCAACTGTACAGAATTGCTTCCGTAACAAGATACTTCTATGCGGATTCAGACAGAGAAAATAGTCCTGAAATTAACCATGAACAAGCTCATAATCATAACTAGTTCTCCCTGCAATCAATAGAAAAGAACATGGTTTATATATTACAGAAAGACCAAAACTTATTGAGAAGTGAGTTTAGATGCAATTTCTGTGCTGTGATCTTTGAAGTATTTAAAATGAGGTAATTCTCCTATTATCTTGTGTCGCTGATGTTACTAAGGATTTCGATAGTGCTTGTTCTGGTATGTTCTCTCATTTTCCTGCAGGGTAGGACAGGTGGTTGTATCGGTGCCTACTCTCTTACCAGTATTATTAGCACTATTCTTGTTCGTTGATTGTTGTTATCATCTGTGCTTCGGTTATTGCACTAGTTCGTTGTTGTTATTGTTCTTCTGTATGCTATGTATTGCTTTCCACAGCACTCTATTTCGTTGGTGTTACTGTTTTCATTTCCATATTCTCTTTTCAAACTGTTTTGCAATGCTTTACGTGAGCTGAGGGTCTATCTAAAACAATATTTCTATCTTTACGAGGTAGGAGTAAGGTCTAAATACACTCCACCCTCCCCAGACCAGTGGCGGAGTCTTGATTTTCCATAAGGGGGTTCAAAATTTGAAGAAGTAGACACACAAACTAGCTAGCTAATGGGATTCGACATCTACTCTATGTATTACATAAAAAAAATATTTTGACCATGTACAAATAGTATAATTTTCTGCCGAAGGGAGTTCGGATGACCACAAGGTGGCTCCGCCCCTGCCCCAGACCCCACTTGTGGGATACACTAGATATCTTCTTGTGTCGTCTTTCTGTTCTGAGGCTGACAGTGCAGCAGAAGTTATCACTTGTCAGCACCAGTAGACTTAAGGCATGGATTTAGTATTGTCTCTGTGCTTGAGGACATGAATATTTAGATCACTCATTTTTTTCAATATCCCTTGTGCTAGAGTAATGTGCAGTTACAAGTGAAGATACTCTTATTTAGGAGGAAGTTTATTGCTATTTCAGGTAACAAAGAAAAGGAGCAGTTTAATCTTTAGGCTATTCGAAATTCACCTTTGTTCTGTTTGAACATTATGTAGCAGGTAATGAATCACAAATGTCCAACAAAAATGTAGAAGCAAGGAGGTTCTACTATCTTGGCGATCGTGTCCAAGTCCAAAAGTTACTCGGCGTGAGCTGTCATATATTTCCTAGCTTGAAACTGGTATTTTCAGGAGTATGCACCTTGTTAAAGAATATTGTAAATGATACTGTGTATCAATTAAGATTAGTCATAATTAGTTGGATTGATTCTTTCCTATTTTAACACTTGTACATAGACTATTTAAACTCAGTAGCTTGAGGGACTAATCAAGTAGCGTTTTCTCTCAATTTCTCTTTTACAACCTAATGTGTGATTCCCTTGCTAGAATTGCAATAAATATATCCGGCCCTTCCCCGGACCCTGCTTATAACAGGAGCTTAGTACTGAGCTGCCCTTTTTTTAAAGAATGTTAAGAAGCTCCTCAGATAAAAACTATATGATATTGCTTAAGAAGAAAAGAATGCTAATAAGCTCCAACTAGAAAATTATGGACATAACTTGCTCACCTTGTTTACCCTGAAGAAGCACTCTCTATGTCAACATTCACGAGCTAGCAGCAATAGTGCCTGGATAATTCTTTGACCACCACTCACGAGGGTATGGATAAAACAGTTCTGTATTGAATTGCCAAACCATAATTCTTGAGCAGTGCATTGGAAAGACTTCCATTTGGCTCTCATCTTCCACAACTTGTTCGATAAATGTGCTCACCTGTAATATAGGATCATTGAGAATCATTTTATAGACTAATAAGTCATGTAAGTTGTGCTGAATACAGGTGAGCCGACGAATAAAATATTGTTTACACAGCAATCAGAGTTACAATAGTAGCAGCGAAACTCACTTGGATGTCAGCTTCAACTATATCAAGCTGCCTGATGGGCACTAGAGTTGGTCGGTTCCACCTCTTTGGATCCCAAAGTATTGTACTAATGAATGCAAATCCTGATATTTCAGCATCGAATCTTTGGAATCTTTTTGCCATTCCATTGGTATGCCAACCTATAACCTGAGAGCCATTACAGATTGGACCCTGCAAGATAACTTTCCTATTATTTTCAGCTAGTCTTGCCACAACCCATGTCCCGAACCGGCTGCATACAACAATTTTCTATCAAGAAAGCTGATAGACAGAATGGCAAGTCCAAATTAAGTATAGGAGCAAAATCATCATCTTTGTCAAAGTGAGCAAGTAAATGCTTGAAAGCAATAGCAACCCGAGACACATCAGAGACTAAAAAAGGATTTTTTTTTTTTATAAAGATACATCTTAAAATGAAGATATGGAATTAAGGAACATAAGTGAGGGGCAGGCCAGGTTTCATTCTTTTGTTCTAGAAACCTTTAGAGTATAGAAAAGTGCAAAAGTGGGGCAATCAAATGTTCTTTTACTTAATATATTTCACATAGTTGTATTTCTTCAATTCCACAACTTATATGGTTGTTGTTTGCATTATAGTTATTTTTTCAACAGTTGTATAAATAATATAGTAATTTCCATTCATCAAAGTGTGAACTTCGTTGTACTTTTCGGTTAAATTTCCAGCAATTCTTGGCGTTTTTCACCTTTGACAATACTATAAGACCATATACATGACAAAACATTTCTGATCACTCCCACATATGGGAAGATTTTCAAGTGATTGGAAGCTAAAAACAAACGAAAGAATGAATATTCATTTGAAGTTGAACTCATCAAGGGAATGGCACATTTCCAACTAGATCTGTTTCGTGACATATTAACTATGTTATTAGTCATAATATACAACT